AAAAAAAAAAAAAAAAAAAAAATTGTAGAGCAGGTGCACCTACAGTCAAGTTATGACAGAGCTCAGAGTCCTTAGCTGAGCTTTTTAGTGAAGATGTGTTTCCCCAATCAACACACAGTATACCAGAGGTGACGAACCTTTTAAAGTAGGAGTGCCCAAATTGCAACCTCAAATCCATCTATTTTTCTCAAAGTATCAAAACTTCAATTAATCCTGAATACTGAAGTTTTATTTAGGAAAAAAAAAAAAACAAGTATTATCCAGTGCTTGGCTGCTGGAGGGACTTAGCTAACATGCTCATACAAAGATCTCTGCAGCACATGCGCCATAGGTTCACCACCACTCTTACAGACTATCTTCAAATATGCTTACAGCAACATAAGACTTCGAAGAACAAGAAAACATTATAACTATCAAAAGTATAAAGTAGTACTATAGTAACCAACACAAAAAGATGGAGATCTGCAAATGGTCTAACAAAAGAATTAAAAGTAACTTGATTCAATCATAAAGCATCAGTTTAATGTGTATGAGGCTCTGAGTTCAATCCATAGCAGCCAAAACAAATAAACAAACACAATGTTTAAGAGACCTACAAGAGAGAACAGATGGACAGCTCAATGAAGTCAGAAAAAGAGTACATGATGAAAATAAAAAATTTAACTAATATATATATATATATGTATGTATAATTAATACACACAAACAAAACAGAATTGTGGATATGAAGAATGCAATAAATAAAATGTAAAGTGCAAGTAGAAGAAAGAATCTGTGAACTCAAAAAGAGGTCATTTGGAAGAAAAGATAAAGAATGACAAGGAATGAAGAAAGCCTAAAAACTTTCTTATTGGACACCATAAATATATATATATATATATATATATTTGCATTCACACTGTGAGAACATTGAAAGGAGAACAGAGAAAAAGAGAGAAACAATTTATTTCAAGAAATAATGGCAGAAAACTTCCCAAATCTGAGAAAGATGGATATACATATACATGAAGCTCAAAGTTCTCTAATAAGGTTCAATCCAAAGAAGACTTCACAAAACTATATAATAATCAAATTATCAAAAATCAAAGAAAAAGAATTTTTCAAGCAGCAAAAAAACAAATATTGATTATATACAAGGGAATGCCATGGGTATACACACCGATGTCTTTATAGAAACCTTGCAGGCCAAGAAAGTGAGATGATAGATTCAAAGCACTGACAGAAAAAAAAAAAAAAAAAAAAACTACCAAGCAAGAATACTTCGCTTGATAAAGTTGTCCTTCAGAAATGAAGAAGAGATAAAGACCTTCCCAGACAAATAAAAGCTGAGGGAGCTCATCACCACTAGACCTGCCATATAAGAAATACTAAAGGGAGTTTTTCAAGTTAAAATGAAAGGATGCTAATTAGTAATATAAAA